CAGAGATGCAATACTGCTTTCTTAGAAAAACTCCTGACTGACTGCTTTTATATCAGCAAGCTCAGAGAGTTCGTGCATGACTGTCATTAACATTTTGGTTAATCCTGCATGTTTCAAGCCAACTTTCAGCACTGTATTTTAGTCAAAAATCTAAATGTACTTTTCTGAACTTCTGAATGTTTTAAACTTGGTTTTCATACAAAGTAGGAATAATGAGTTGAAATAACCCAATTCTGCATGAAATGGAAAATGTTAAAATCTTTGACATGAAGATTCTAAACTATTTGTTGCTACACATTTGATTAAGAAAAAGAGGTGTCAGCATTCTTAAACTGAGATTGTTTATTTTACTTTGGTGACTTTGCTTCATACACTGAGTAAACTGGAGGTTTCCCATTAACCTTCTATCTCCATCTCCATGGTTATTTTTACTGATTTGATCTGGCCATCAGTTTGCCTGTACCTGTGCTTGTCAGTGAAGCAGTCAGAAGAAAAGTGGCCCTTATGTTGTAAGGAACCTGGTATCTGTCTCCTACCCTGCAAGTTTTGTTCAACTCATATTGCTTGATGTACATCTCTGCACAGTGAACAGGCTGAGGAAAACTTCCTGCAACCTTCTGGCCAACTGCACTAATGACCTTGGACTTGGAAGTGTTAAAGCAGAGAGGGGAGAAAATGTCTAAGGAAACATGTTGCATTTTGTAAGAAATATACTATGACTCTTTGTACTTTTTAGCAAGTTTGGATAAGGTTTATAGCTAGTTCCACTGGGCTATTCCACCCCTGCATTCATGTAAAAGGAGAAGAAATATTTTAGCAAAATGAAGAAAGTTGTAGTGTGGGTGGACCCCAGTACTCTCAACGTAAGAGCAATCCCCGTTCTGATGTATGATAACTGAAATTATAATACAAAATTATACTTATTTCATTTTGGTAGAGTCTTAATTCTCTGTTACTAAATTGTTATTTTTTTTATGAGACAAAAATCAAATTAAGACATTTGCATGTGTGTAAGTAAGCCAAGCCTTCAAGTTTTTACCATGTAGTTCTTGAACTAGCTTAGTTCCAGATTGATTACATTTTCTAGTATATTTGTATCCAGTGATCATCTTTATGTGCAGTTTAGTGATTTAGGCTCAGTTTTAGTGGAAGAAATAAAACTCTTGTCCTGCACTAACAAATGTTTTGTTTTTCACTTCTGTTGTGTTTGAATTAATGAAAAAAAAAAGAAAACCCAAAGCAAAACCAGTTCTTAAGGTGCAGTGATGCTGAATTATGGTTCAGATTAATAATTTTTGCAAGATGTGCAGACCAGCAGCAATGAAATTCTTACTTAGAAGTTTAAAGATCAGGATGTACCCCCACAAGCCACATGGCACAGTGGCAATGAGGGACCATGAAAATTCTGCTCTCAGGAGCTGTATTCTTTTCACCTAGCTGTAAATAGTTAAAGGATACTGTCCTGGTGTGTTGTCAAGAGCTCCACTGGTTCTGCTGCTGGGGCGAGTTGGGGATGCCTAGCTCCCAGCGTGTTCAGAGCAGAGTCAGTTGTCACTGTTCAATGGTTCCTGTATCTTGTAGCCCTTCTGTTACAGGATACTGTTATCTGCTTTCTTTTTGCTTTAGAGAAGATGCATTGTCACTGTTGTCATAGAGTTAGGCTTGGAAATAGATTTCACAGAGTCTTTACGTGTCAAGATGAAGGCTGCAAATTATCTTCACAAGGAGACAAGTGAAGTTTTAAATATTAATATTGTAAGTTTGTTCTGAGTTGTCTATGCATCAGTTAGTGAGTTTTTGTCAGGGTTAGAATTACCTCACTGGTAAAAAAATGGCACATTTTTTTAAGAAGACATTTATTTCTAAAGCATTCTGTAGGATTTGTGCTGCACTGAAACATCTTTCTAGCTATACTTTCCCAGTTAATGATGTATAATGATGACTGAAAAGCTAAAAGATATGCTTATACAACTTACTCTTCTCAAGCATATTGACCTTCATTTGCAGAATGATCAGGAGGCAAATTATTTATGAGTTTGAGTTACTTGAGAATAAAGGATCCCACTGTAAGATGAGAGCCAGACAGGTTTAGCCAGGTAAGAGTGTATGACTAGAAAAAAGTCTAATTCTGAGGTGAAATGAAGAAGCTTCTATTTCATTTTTGAGCATTGGGTCAGGTGACTCAGAAAAAAACCAATGATACATCAGGAAGGAAAATTATTATATCAGGCAGCAGCATGTGTTTCCCAGATTAGGCTTATTGAGCAAAATTAGATTAAGATTTTCTTTCATCATTCTAATTAAACTATTGTGCCCTTTTCATTGTTTTAGGTCATTGTTGATGAATGACAGAGGAGTGCCTTGACTGCTGCTTCCCAAATATAATTAAGTTTGATGGTTTTCAGTGGAACAGGTTATCTATTTGCTGAATTTAAAGCAGCTGAAACTAGAGTTCTTATGTTCAAGGTTTAGGCTAACCACAAACCACAAGTAACTTCTTAGATTTTCATGCAAGAGATCAGCTGTACCTAATTAGTAGACTGCTGTTGTGTTGTGTGTTCAGAACATTACTGCTGACTTAGGAGGTAATCTTTGCTCACTCAGTTATCCAGGCAGCTCCCAATAACTGGCTGGAGTGTGAGCTGCCTTTTGCACAGACAGAATTCATGCCCAACACAGAAGAGTAATATGAGCTTGATATAAAGGGGAAGCTGTGATTTTGCAGTGCAGACATCCTAGAGTTCACTTTGCTAATCAAAACCAGAGAGGACTCTCCCAGAGCTTCAGTCTCTCTCAGAGTTAGATTTTATGCTGTTTAAATTAAATCCTGTCCATGAAGAAAGTTTAGGAAAGCATATGTAAATGTCAGCTAACAATTTGTTCCATGTACTCTCAAAAGACTGACTATTGACAGCACTGGGCATTTAACATTTGCACTCATGCTCTTGAGCAAGCAGTAACTGCATCTCTCTACCTGTAATACTGTGTTTGAGAAGTGTGGCCTGTGTTACAGTAATCCTTATTATATTGCAAATAACATCTTTAGAGTTGCCTTAGGTACAAATTATATTCTGTACTTTGTTCTAGTGTAACGTGTTATTCACTCTGTGGTTCTAGCAATATTCTCACAAACTTACTCTGCATGTGTGGAATTTTTCACCAAATATGATCAGCAAAAATATTTACTTGAATTTGAGTGAATTCTTATTCACTTAAGGGCAAAATAAGACAGTTTACCAACTGAATTTGAAAGAAGTTGATGCAAACCTTCAGTTACTATGTGGATAAAAAATGTAGGGACAGATGCCATTTCACAGATAATGGTTGACAAGCATAGATATGCTTGACAATTTCTTCAGAATTCTATTAATAGCCTTCTCCATTTAAATAATTCAATTCCATGTCAGATGAATATTGGTTCTTTTCTTCTGTTACATTTTGCACATTGCTGAATTCTGAGCAATAGATGGACTTTTTCACACCTTGTTAACAATATCTACTTCTTGTGTTTACTTTTTGGTTTGGACAATGACACTGGATTTGTATTCCTTAGGTTGTTAATACATGGTCTGTAAGTACATGGAACATGGGAACCTCCAGATATTCTATGTATAAATAGCTTTTTCATGAGCAGTCAAGCTAAATGATTTTGTTTTCCTTTTTCTTTTTTTGGTATAGGCATTTGTTCTAAGTACACTACTGGTGACTCCAAATGCTGTTCCCTTTCCTGGCTCTGTACAACTCCCTTATTGGGCTAATTAATACACAACTGCACCCAATGCCTGTTTGATTTTTGCTGATGTGGGACATCTGTCTTTATGGGGAAAAGGTGCATGACAGAATGTCATGTTATTCTGCTTGCACAGCACAGCCCAGCCACAACCTTTTAATGAAGTTTTTGAAAACCTATTAGGGGTACAGAAGCAACATACAAAATTTTTTTAAACTTTGACTAATAAAGGAGTATCAAATTACCTGTCACACAGAGCTTTTCATATGAAGCAGGTTGGTGTTTTTAGTAAAAAGAAAGAATAGTTGTAATTAATTTCATCATAGTTTCATTGAACATTTTGAGAAGTTAGTTATTCAAAGAAAGGTGGAAATTATCAAATGTGTGAACTTCAGTTACGAAGTGGGAAGAAGAAAAACTTGCATTGTAAGTCAGTGACTCTACTTAAACATTCTTTGTTTTCCAGTGAAAGGGATTTCCAGTCATAGTTCATAGGAAAGTGAACCTTTGAGTTGGGCACAATAATTAAAATGTATGGTCCAAATTAGCCTAAAAATTGAATTGCAAAACTGAGCTAATTTAAAAATATATACGTAAGAAAATCAGAAAATTGATTTAAAATATTTTTATACCTACTCCATTATTATCTACAAAGAAATCTTATGTTTCTGGCTCTGCTGTCTCCAGGAATGCAAAATTACATGTTGTGTTTACTCCCCCTTCCCAAAAAAAAGAAGGAATTTTTGCATACTTAAAAGCTCTATTTTGTTTTGAAAATTCTGTTTGAGAACTCTTTCAGTCCCCTAAAAGCCTGTATGTATCTATTTTGCTTTTATATGTGGAAACATAATTAACAATATATTATTTTGATTAACAATCAAACAATACCATTAAAAGAATCAAAACATGAAGTTTAATATCCAACGATGGTTTTCCACAATTTCTTTTAGATACATGAACTAAATCTAACTTTAACTAAGTTGTTCTGCATTGCTGTTTCTTTCTCAAGAGTCCTTGAATATATATGTTTTTTACTGTTTTTCATTAATAAATTACTTGCAGTTTTAACCTGTTCAATAAAATTATAGAATATAAATTAAAGAAAGAAATAGAAAGAGGGGACCTGTCATTCTGAGAGACTGATCTAGGATTTCTTGGAGATTAATTTTAGAAAATAATTCTGATTTTAGGAAATAATTCTGGATTTTTCTTTTTCTTTTTTTCTTTGTTTATTTTATATTTTTAAATTTTTGTTTATTTCTCTGTTCAGATGGAAGACGTCATAGCCCGCATGCAAGATGAGAAAAATGGGATTCCTATTCGTACAGTGAAAAGTTTTCTTTCCAAGATTCCCAGTGTCTTTTCTGGTAAGAGTCACAGTGAATTTCATACTATTATAAAGTTTTCACTCTGCCTTATGTAAGGAGATGCTCTAGTGGGAAACACTTTTAAATAAGTACTATTGAGAGTTCAGTCATCTGGCCTGGAGAAGACATTCTTTATCCTTTGAAAAGTTCAATTACAGAAGTTTTTGATGTTTCTCTCAGATTGGAGTAGGATTACACAGAGATGTTTTTCTCCTGAAAATTAGGTGAAGGGAATACTTAGTTTAGTACAAAAAGTTAATTATCTCAAAATGGCAATATTTGTATGGCAGGTCCAGTCTGGTTTTTAGCCAGCTTCCATAGCAAGTATGAGTTTAGTGTATTGGCCAATACATGAAGATAAGAAACTTCATAGCAGAGGAACAAAAGAAAAATCATCACCACACTGCAACTGATGCTGATTAGGGGCTGTGACATTTATTACAATCTTCGTAATTTGCTTCTGTAGCTCAGTGCCTGTGCTTAAGAAACTAAGGCTGAGATCTTTGTGGTGATTTGTAAGACAGCTGTAAACTTTATAGCTGGTCCAGGACAGTACAGTCATAGGCACAAAAATCTGTTTATTTATTAATTATTTAGCACATAATTATTCTGTTATTTACATAATTTTATCACAATTTATGCATTTATGTATGTGGCTATATATTCCAGTGACTATTGAGTTCCTTTGAAATAGATGCCATTGTTAAACATAATTTTTCCATAATCTGTAAGAGTGTATTCTTATATAGAAAGCATTTATACAAGTTTCTACTGTCCAGAACACCAAGAAGAATTCTATCTTTTAATTTTCAACCTTTGGAATGTTTTTGCTAGTGAATAATCCTGTCATAAAGAAGGATGGAGTCTTAAGAGTGAATAAAATTGCTTCCTGATTTTAGGAAATAGATTTTAGATTCTAGAAACTTGCACAAAAAAATATCCTTTGGAGAATGGACCTTTATTTGCCATGAGTTAGTGCAGCATGGCATTTTATTGAATAATTCATATTAATTGTTAATTTCTGCCTTGACTTGTGTACTTTGGATTTCAAAATAGACTGACCAAAATGTCTTTTTTTTTCTTTTGTCTTTTTTTTTTTTTGAATAAACATTATACTTTTAAGGTTGAGTTAGAATATATATACAGTTATACATAGCAGTTCCTGATGTACCAACTTTTCTATTGATGCGTTAACTTTATTAGCTACAGAGGGAAGTAAAATCATAGGACAGTTCATTTTTTTTCTCTTTTCTGATTTTCTGTCTCAAATACCAGGGAGTACCAGTAATTTTTGCTGCAAATGACTACAACTCCCACCAGAAAAGCGTAACTGTCATTTTAGTTCAATTAATCTACTTTCCTGTCAGTTCTCTATCCTGAGTGGAATCTGAAAGTTTCAAATCTATGTCCTAAGTCACTAATTTCTTTCAAATAAAGGACTTTATGTATATGTAGCAAACAAATACCAGCTTGAACTCAAAACTGTTGATTGCTTAGAAACATGGGAATATTGTCTAAGGATCATGACGACAATAATGCAAATATATTTAATAAAAGCTTATAGTACTGTCAATACCCACAAAAGCCTCAAAGTAGATGTTCTTCAGTTAAAATATATACTTATATGCTCATATATTTTTACATATATGTGTGTGTGTCTGTGCATAGAAGATGTCTTGTACACATCCATTTGTTCTGGATTATGCCCCATGAATACTGGAGCTTTTCAATTGTTTGGGTTTTTTTTGTTTTTTTTTTTAATTGGGAGATACAAATTGGATAGCTACCACAGTGAAATCACGTTCCTGCACGCACTTAGGAAAGACTCTACAAGTCCTTGAAACAACTTGTAAAGGATGCCCATAAATTGTCTGTAGAAATAGGGTCTTATGTGATACAGTTTTAATTATTTTGTTATAAACATTTTTCAATGTACTTTTATTTCATGGTATTGCTTCTAAAAACAGCAAGTGAGAAACAGCAAAGAGAAGAAAGAGCAGTCACTTTTTATTGCTGAATTACTGACCATCTCTAAAGATGACTGCATTAGCAAAATCAACCTGAGGAGTGGTATTTGAATTTAACAGAATGTTGTGATTGTAATAAATATGATGATGTAACCGTACTATCTCATTTACTGAGTCATTCCTGAAATGTTTAAACAAGTAAAATATCAACAGAAACAATTGAAATACAGATATTTCCCTATACACTATACAGGTTTTTTTTTGCTTCAGAAAAATATGATCCTAAATTAAAGATTATTCCACTTCATGAAATTTTGAAAATATGAGGAATCATTTTGCTTTATGTTGCATATATTCCATACTTTCATAGAGAGCAAATAAACATTTGAAACTTCTAAGGCTCTAAGGAAAAAAGTAGGCAGGAGATTGCTCCTTCTATGTGATTATGCATTTTGATGAACAAAACAAGGACTAACTGTTGTTGTCTTTATGCTTTTGAAATGTTTTGGACGAGTAAAGAAGAAAATTTATATAGACATCTTGCTGGTCAGCAATAATTGCATGAAGGTTGTCATGTGCATTCTTTATTAACATGGATTAGAGTATTAGGAATAAAGAGGAGGTGATTTTCCTGGTCCATGGTTCACCTTTGGACCTGGAAATGGATAAAAAATCCTGCTTGAAATGATGAATTTAGGGAGTCTAACATATGAATCATAGAAACCAGAAGGAGCTCTAAAATATAATCTTTATTTTTGCTAAGGAAAAATGCAAGAAAATACCAAAGCTTTAGTGTTCAGTTTGGAGCAGAAAGAATAATTCAGAGTTTACTGACAAAGCAATAGTTGTGGGTTTGTTTTGGACAAACAAGTCTTTGTGAGGGGGTGTGGGTGGTTTAACCAGTATAAGTGCTGAAAGCTTTGTAAACTAATCAGAACATGAATATTTCATGAAGAAAATGTAGTGATGTCTTATGGTCATTACGGAGTATCAGTGTGATTCTTCATAGGACTTTAAAATGTGCAATACTTGGTTGAGCTTGGTGATGAATAAACCCTGTGGAGAATGTGCCAACTGAGTGGTGTGCTTGAGTGTAGAACATGAGAATTTTTATTGAAGGAGCAGGGAGAACTATGAAAAATGTAAGTTCAGTTAAAGAATACACACAGAGGGAGAATAAAACCTTTTCAAGAACAGCATGATCATACCAGTTATTACTGGGTGTTTCTGATGCATGGCTCAATGATTTTGGAATGTAGTCACAGCTTGAACCAACAAAAATAGGAGAAGGAGATCAGTAGAAAGGTGTGTTTTTAACATCGCCTGTGTTAAAGAGAAAATGAAAACATTAATTTATCTTTCACTGGAAAATATGATCCATGTAAAGTCTTTAGTTTTTTCTCATTCCTGTAGGTGAAGGTGATATGGTATCTTTTCCATATAAACATTGTTTTCCCATTTTTTTAGAAAGATTATTGCTGTCATATCTAATGTTTGTAAAATGTTTTTCCTGATCTCAGAAAATGCTTATTTCTCTTTTACCTGGGAAATCATGAAAATAACGAGATATTGCATTTTAATTAGCAAATGTATTAATATAATTATTAACTACCAGTAGCAGTATGCTTGGTAAGAAATTAAAGAATTTAGGTGTTTGAACATAAAAAAAAACAACTTAAAGCAGATTGGCAGTCTCAGTAGCCTGGACAGATGTAGTGAGAGACTCCAGAGGAAATTATTATAATAGCTCATCATACTCACAAATCACAGGTGGGTGAGCCCAAGGAATGAGTCACAGGGGCTACAGGGGCTACCTGCAACAGTATTGCTTGTTATACAGAGAGAGGCAGCAAAAAATGAGGAGCAGTACAGTGAGAATTGGATGACTCAGGGGACTAATAACAGGAGAGTTTCATCTGTCATTAGTTTTGATCTTTTCCAGTTGAGTAATGAATTGTTAACATCTGATGACTTCTCAGTACCGCATGTGAAATTAGTTGATTGGTTTATCCACTTCACTACTGGAGATTACCAACCTGAAACACAAAATGAAATAGAAAGCTCTACTGCTTGGTTTGACAAGAAGTAAAATCCAAAAGCATAACACTTTGATTGTCTGGTTCCTTTGGAGCTAAGTAATGTTGCATTACAGGTAAATAAAAGTATTTCAGTATTTATATTTTTGAGAGATTTTCCAGAGTAAATTAACCATTTTGGAGAATCTCGGATTCCCATCTCCCAAGTCTTGAATTTTATAGACCTTGTTTTTAACTACAGTGTCTCCCCTGCTGGGTTGATGACAGGTTCCTACTTTCTTGTTCCATCCATTTCTTCATCTCGCTTTTCCTGCACTGTCCTAAAGTGTGCTTTAATGGTAGAATCATTGCTGATTTCTTTATGCCACATGAGCCTCTTGTTTGCAAACTGAGCCTTCAGTGTTAAAACTGCAAGCTCACTCCTTGATGAGGTTCCACTCTTAATGAAATGCTTTGATGAAAAGCTTGCTGTCAGTTCATGAAGGACAGGAGCGGGATCATGCCCTCTTCTGTGTCCTCTCTGATGGGCAGATTGGAGCAGGGACTTGCATCTTTACAGCTTCGCTTTTCAAAGCAGAATTTCAAGATCAAAAAGCTAGTAAACCTCTATAACCAAATGAATAGTTTGTTTGAAGTTATACCACCAGTCTCTTGCATTTGTCATTTTGTCAGAGTGACTGATTTGCATTCAAATGTTCATGATCTTTTGGGAGTGGATATTATTTGTTCATGATTTTAAGAGTCATGAGTAGAAGAGATTGACTAAGTGGAGCCATAAGATTGGACACATAGTCATTTCCAAGTATTGGCATAATTAAGTGATTGAGTGATGCTTTGTATGCTTTACAGAAAAGAAAAGTGGATATTTGAGTGCTGCATCCCTTCTCCTCCTGTTTCTGTTTGTTTGCCTGTCTTGGCCTTGTGACTGGGATGGTAACCAAGGGTGATCTTAAGCTGCTTAAAACTTGACAGAACTTTTGTATCTTATGAAAAATCA